TAGTGTTCATTTGCGCCCCAGCAAATATAATTTATATCCAACTCCTCCAGCTCGTTCTAACTCACTATGTCTGCCTCTCTCTCAGTTTCTCGCTCTCTCTCTCTCCCTCCAAGCTGCTTTCAATCACGCTCAATTTGTTAAACAAGCATTCACTGCTTATCTCTGTTTTCATCGCGTAAATATTTAACTAGTTTTTTTTCTCGTTCGTTTAAGCTTTAATCTAGATAACATTTAGTTCGTTTTTTTTTTGCTATCATCATATGCAATGCGGGTGCTAATGTGCCAATGCGCAATGACTAATGACTAATTACGCTATCGGATAGTTAGGCGGGCATAGGGGTAAATGGAATGGGAATTTGATAGGTTTTTAATTTATTATTGAATATTATTAAAATTTAAGTTTATATGCATATGAATATATAGTTTATAGATCTTTGACTTTAATTAATATAATAATATTGTGTTAACTATATTATTAAAAAATTAATATATAATATATAAGCTAACTTATATTATACTTTACATTTAATTTTAAGTCAATTAATAAGTTTATATAAATACTTATATAATTTATAATCGATTCTTAATTCTTGTAATTTTATTTCTAAAGAATTTCCACAAATTCCCTTGAGAACTCGCATTTCCCAAGTCTAATCGACAACATCAATATTATTAACTATTTAAAATCTGACCTGTGCCCAGAAAAGGGATTATTATATAACTGTACAAGTCCTCCAAGTCCTCCGCATTGGACACACTGCAATTGCGTTCGTTCTATACAAAAAATAAACGTTTAAATTATTCTATGCGCTTGGATTACAACAATTTCGCTATCTAGCCAATGCTTGGCAGAAACAATTCAAGCTGTCCCACGGACAACATGAGGCAGGTGCTCAATTACGTGAAATTTTCCATGAATTTTCAATGAGTGTGGGCGGGCTGTGTCAATACATGATTGAACGAGCGAGCGACCGAGCGACCGAGCGACCGAGCAGCCGGCGATGCCTTGCTGATTGACTTGAAAAAATCAACACAATTACATTTTCAATTTATAAAATTGACGTTCTTGTTGAACTCTGCACTTAAATGCTGTCAGCAGCAGCAACAACAACAACAACAACAGCAGCAACAACAGCAATAATAATAATGACTGCAATATTCTTGTACTGTCTGCAAAACACTTGCTAATGGCAAACGCATTCATTTGCCCATGCCACGTCCCCCTAGCACTGACTGCCGCCCAAGCTGTTGTTGAGTGCAAATCACATTTGTTAACTGGGAATGCCCGGGCCAAGTGCTAGCGAGAGGCACTTCTCAGTGCTCTGTTCTGGCAACAACAACAACAACAATTTGCATACTGTGCGTGTGTGTGTGTGTGTGTGTGAGTGTCTATAAGTGTGCAAGTGTGTGTGTGTGCCAGTCAGCCCTACACTTATTGATCTAGCTCAAGTGTATAGCCTACTTGACAGGCGCTGCTAGCGCCACCTGTTGGCTGGCAGCAGCAACATGCATGCTAGGCCTACTTTGAAGGGCACACAAAACTTGGAATTCGAACGCAGATTTGTATCTAGTTATCGTGTGTCCGTTTCATTCAATATACAAAATGTATGTATGTATGCATCAGATAGAAATCGCTTCGCCTCACACACACACACACACACACACACGCCCGGAGCGGAACCAAATTGAATGCACAGCATGGGCAATCGACAGGTGCTGCGAAGCGACGTCTACGTGTATATCCGGTGGCTGGCATGTCCTGTCAGCAGCCAGGCTATGCAATTTCCACACTCAATCAGTGGAGTCTATCGAGATGCTTTGCCATTTTTCTTTTATCACTTGGCGACAGTCGAGGCGGAAAATTCATTTAAATTTTGTTGAATCAGCATTTTCATGTGTACACATTTGTTTATCTACAGATGTATGTATATCGTATGGAATACGAGATAGTACAGACTCTATACTCTATATGCTAGATATTTTATTGTGCTCTATAGTTTAATATTCATTATTACATTTTATTCACTTCGTACTCTCTATCTCGCTCTCTCTCTCTCTCTCTCTCTCCTGTCTATCATATATCCATATGTAAAAAAATGAAATTACAATCGCTGCCATATCAAAGTTGAAATCAATTTGTGATAAAAACTAGCTTCCACTTGGTCCTCCACTTAGTTCATTTCGCCAACGTTTCTGCCACAAAAAGCAAACTTGATTCGATTATATGATAAACCACAAGCGTCCTTCCCCAAAACCAGAAAAAATAATAAAAAATACAATTTGTGTGCGTGTGCGCGTGAGTGTGTGTGAGTAAGGGCAAAAGTTAGACATTGCATGGTCTGGCGCTGGTCAGTTTGAACCAGAGTCTGGCACTTGGGCCTTACGCTCCCATTGTCATGCAAATTGCTGTATTTTACTGTAATTTTATTTTAAAGTATTCAGCAATCCGCATTGAGCATTGACCACTGTTGTTATTGTTGTTGTTGTGCTGTTGTGTTGTGCGTGGCTGCAAATTGAATTTTCCCTCTTTGCACGCGCAGTTTATTTGGGGAATAGTGAACGATTGCGTATGCTTTAAGTGTGTATTGCCAGGGGACTATAAACGGTTAAGGTAATTGGGGTAGTTGAAGAGCGGAAAAGTGAAAGTGGGAGAGTGGTAAGAAGAGAGAGAGAGAGAGAGAGAATGTGTAGATGCGGATAGATAAAGATTCGGATACATATACGGATACAGATACAGAGATACAGATGCAGAGATACATATAAAGATACAGAGATACAGATACAGATACAGATACAGAGATAAAGATACAGAGATACAGATACAGAGATACAGATACAGAGATACAGATACAGAGATACAGATACAAAGATACAGATACAGAGATACAGATACAGAGATACAGATACA